GCATCTCCGTCAGCGTCATATTGGGCGCAAAAATGATTTTCAACTCGAGTGTCCACTTTTGACCTGCAGTTTCGAATCTGCAGAACTTAAAACAATGACCAAGCATGTGTCACGGCATATATCGGAAGGGCACCCGGTATTTTGCCCGTTAAAATGCCGTACTAGCAAGCCATTTGCCACAGTCAACACCCTCAGGATACATAACATGTACTACCATCAAATAACAGCCCAGAAGCAGCCACCCCGCAATAACTATCCGCGTCCTGAAAACGAATTAGCTGCTTCTGAGAAGAACTCTGAGCTTCCGTTGATTACAGAAACCGACAATCATGAAGAAACCCTTGATGAACAATTAAGTGATGTGCAAAGAAGTATTGAAATGGTGTTTGGGACATTATTCTTGAAACTTATTTCGAAAAATCATGTCACTGACGTTGTGATTCAAGAGATTGTTGATTCCATGCAGGAAGCTGCTACGGTCGGAAGGCAATATTTACAGCTGCGAAAAAAATGCGAAAAAATTGCTGAAGAAATCAATCTTCCTCTGGACATGAAAGGAAAGATGAAACAGTTCATGTGTTTTAACAACTTGTTTGATCACCTCTTCGGAGAGGGAGGCAAGTTCCGTTCCTCGCACATTCGGAAAAAGTTTTATCAAAAGCACTTTTCATATATTTCTCCTACCCAAGTCCAACTCCACAGAAATAGTGATCATAATCCTTGTTTTTACTATTATGTTCCGATCTTAGACACTCTATCGGCAATGTTGAATGACAGCCAAATCTATAACGCAGTATTCCGCGATAAGCATTTTGTTCCCGGATACATGACAGATTACACCGATGGTCTGAAATACAAAAACAGCAGATTCTTTAGCCAGAAAACTTTGAACTTGTTCATTTACCAAGACGCAGCTGAAGTAGTTGTGAATGCTATTGGGAACGCAGCAGGTCGTCATAAGCTTGAATGTGTATATATGGTTATAGGTAACCTAGACCCGCACTTACGTAACCTTACAGAAAATGTCCACTTAATTTTACTCTGCAAGGCAAAAGACTTTGCTTATTTTGGCACTGATAAAATCTTCAGGAGGCTGGTTGAAGACATTAAAACCCTTGAAGAAACTGGCATTCTTGTACATGGAGGGGGGTATGAGGAGAGAATTTATGGTTCGGTGTTTACGACAATGAATGACAATTTAGGAGCCCACCAACTAGCAGGCCTGACCGAGAATTTTTCTAGAAGTTCATTCTTTTGTCGTTTTTGTTACATTCAGCATCAAGCCTTCCAAAATGACTGTTTTACTATTGCCGATCCAAGAACACCTCAATCAAATCGCCAGGACGTTGTCAAGATTAATAGCATACCATCTGAAATACCGTACCGTGGCGTCAAAGCAACATGCATCCTCAACGAACTGATTTACTTTCAGATGTTTTACTATGGGGCGCCACCTTGTATTGCCCATGATCTTTTTGAAGGATGGGCTAATAATGATATGTTTTTAATATTCCACCGTATGGCGAAAGAGAAGCTCGTCTCCGCCAATTTTTTGCAAGCAAGAATTAATAGCATTTGCAAACAACTGAAACTCAAAACTAAAATAGCTTTGGACTTCTCTAGAAAAATGAAAAATATCAAAGCCAAGGCTTGTGATACTTGGCACCTAATTCAAATTCTTCCATTCATATTCATCGACAAGGCAATAGACTTCAATATCCCATTAATGTCAATGCTACTCTTGATCAAACAGATAACTGATATTATTACATCCCCAGTGGTTTCAAAAGAACAAGTTCAGTTACTGTCCGCTCTAATAAGAGAATATCTCGAACTGAGGATGCAAGAATTTGATGTACCCTTAAGACCGAAGCACCATTTCACCTCTCATTATCCTCAACTCATACTTTGGTTGGGACCATTAATGTCCTATTGCACGCTTTTCTGCGAGCGAAAGCATTGCTTTTTCAAAAGAGCGTTGAGAAGTACGCTGAACTTCAAAAACGTTGTTAAGTTTTGCAGCGAACAGCATCAATACTATCAGGGCTTGCTTAATATGAAAAACGTTCGATTCAATCTAGATTTTTTAGTTATAAAGTTCTTGGAATCGTCTGATTATTTGCCACTAGCGATAAAGAATCAGTTGTACGAATACAAGCTATTGGACCAACAAAATGTTCATGCCGAAGAAGCTGCCTATTGCGGATATAGCTACAAAAAAGGACAATATGTTTTTCTAAACCATGACAAGTATGGAGAGTATTTCTTTGTCCTAGAAATTCAACTTTTGATATACGAAAAGGAAAGGAACAATATTTTCATCTACGGCAACCGTAAGGCTGTTTTGAACATCCACGAACGAGGACTACTACTGATTCATAAGGAATGTTTGATGGCAGAGGCCATTAATATCAAAGAACTAATTGATCGAGCTCCATTGGATTTTTATAACGAAACTAACAAAGATTATTTGTTCATCAAGCATTCAATTCCATTCATGAACTGATCATAACAAAAGACAAACATGGATTCTCTGATAGTGTTCAGAATTTGCGACTCGACACGATTACACCGTTTTGCAATACCAGCATTTGGAATCACAACAAGTTTGTTGGAGGAAGGTAAGCAAACATTTTTGATATATTATATATAAATAATAAATAATAATTTATTATGGGATTCCAGGCTCAGCAACGTTGGGTAAAACCGTAAAACAAATAGTAACTGAACATGATGGATGCCGCATAACTTCTGACTTGGTGCTCCAAATATTCAAAGACAAGCTGCTGATGCTATTGGAACCGAACGAAATGTGGGTGGCGATTGAAACGTTGAATCCTCCGTATGATGGAACCAATTTGCAGTCTGATGGTATGTAAATTTTTGTTCTGTTCATTTTTATTTTTATTTTTTGTTATACGTACATATAAAATACAGTAAACTCTCTCTAACTCGATGGAAACCTAGGCTACTTAAACCACTGTTTCCATATTAATTTCTGAAATTTGATTCCATAACACGTAATCCTTCCTTCAATACCGAGATAGGGAAGCTGACTGTAAATTGATTGAACGTTGTGTTCACATTTTGGCTTCATTGGTACACTTTGATCACATGTGATGAGGTTTTAGAGCATCCAAAATTGAAAATTTCTTACCGTTAAACAGTTAAGCGTCTAATTTACAGTACCGTAAAACGTAGGAGTGCCAGACACATATGGTAAAATGATTTTTACTTTCGAGAAGAATAAGCGTCTTGAGTCGATACCTTGGGATTTTTCCTGGTCGTTCTAACATTCTATCCACAAAATGCACTAATCCTGACATTTGAGACCAGCACTTCATTGCTAGGATCACAGTAATTCGCTGCCATGAGTATTTTCTTCTACGATCACCGAGATGGTTTTTTTCTGAAATTAATTAAAATAGCTGCGAATGTTACACAAATAATCGAATGCAATGTCATAATGCTTACCAGAATGGATATGTATATTCTCAATGAATTTCAGATTTAATACCACCGGAAAATCTGCTTTCAGAACATTTTTCGGAGTCTATTTTTGAGATTGTGGATTCGGATTGCATAATAACAAATATAAAACGCTAATCCGTCACTGTATTTTGTTGATCTGACAATGACAGATTGCAAACACGGCGGAAAAAAGTTATAACACGCTGCGAATTAACTACCCAATTTTATGTAACTGAATCACCCAAATTAGAGTCTGTGTATCAGAATCACGCAAAGAGTGAAGCCAAATCTACCTATATTGATCCGTCAAACCGTCTACCTATCGTATGAAGTAAATGAACAGTACGGTACTATGAATGCTCAGTGAAAGGTATTGCAATAATTAAAAAAGTATCAATGAAAATTTGATCACAAACCCACCGTAACCTTTAGATTGTTATGCGCTATATTTGGAATTGATCATTATTATGTTGTGATATCCTGAATCGTTGAAATTGTAATTTACTACATCCGCAACGGCCCTCTGGCTAGTTGCTACTGAATTGAGAGTAACAGTTTACTCTGCGAAATAAGCTATCGAGATTAAAAATATTGCCTAATGTTTTAAGCCACAAGAAATCATCGGTATTAATTTCATTGGTTTGCCTTATGAACCATAATAATTATTGTTGAAAAACATTCGCTGCAGACAGGAATCGAGCCATGATGGTTATTTCACCCGGTCTGGACTACATGTCTGTCAGCATTTGGAAAAAAAGCAAAATGTATATAATAAATTTTTCATTTAAAGTTTGCATTTGAATTATGCATTTGAATTTTCAGCTGAATAAAGATTAACTTTAATCGGCAGTTTTTGTTTTTCCGTGTTGGGCTAAACTCTCGTTTGTAAATTTTGACTTAATTGTTGCAAATGAGTAACTGTTTCTCCTTTTTCCTGTAACAAATGAGTTACAGTTACTCCTTTGTGAGTAACAGTTATTTATTTAATGGGTTAAATAAAACTCGTTTCCTGGTTTGATTTGCTTTTGATAAAAAAGGTGGAATTATACTCATTAATAGGTGCTTTCAAGACAGTGTGGAATGTTGTTTTTGACAGTTTAGTTCATTAACCCAAATAAGTATCAAACTATTTGTGTGTCATCAGATCTATCTTGTAAATTTTAAGTTGGGTTAATCGATAACCCAGATTTGGATAGTTCATTCATAGTGTGTTGTTTACATCTGACCGTTTTCAGCATTCTGATATTGTTTTATTATATAGTCAAACATGTATTTAAAAGGTTCTATTTAACTGTAATAAAAAATTATATGAAGACTATAACACATGTTTACTTACAGGTGACTCAGCATTCCGTCAACATCTCACCAGCAGCTTTCGAAACGAACAGACGACAGTTATGGATATCGATGCTTCTTTATTTCTTCAGCAAGTCGCTACTCCACCCAACATTATTTCCGTTCTTCCCACCTCAAGCAGAATACGTGATCAACAACAGCCTTCGTCACATGGAATATCAAAATCTCCACAGAACCAACGGACAGTTATACAGGAAAATATCAGTGATTCAGCTGTGCACGATAACGCCGCTTTTCGACCGGTCAGTGTGAATGATAAGGAAACTGACGAAGAGTCTTTTGGTGAACAGGATGAAAATTCAAATCCAAACAGCAGCGCAGAGAAAAGATCATTTGATGAAGTTAAAGTATTGAAAGGTTCCAAGAAATATGCTTCTTGTGAGATGAAATTCAATACATTTCAAGTGAATTGGACCAAGGTCAGTGACGGTATTCTTGATCATCTGCAGCAAATGCAAGATTTCCGCAACGAAAATTCAAGCCAACGTGTGCCTTCATCCCTACAGATTTCAAAGACTGACTTGAGTGGACTGGCGAATTCTGTAGTTGATCAGTTAAGAACAATTGACCATCGTATTCGAGCGGACGTCATGGAAAGTGCGGCACGGCAAATTATCAACAAGTTTCCTTGTATGAACTTCGTAGACGACGACGGATTCGGGACAGGAACAGGTTATGTATGGTTGAAGCACAAAATGATAAACCGTAATACTTATCTGAACCGTTACAAAGCACCGAATCAACCAAAAGCTTCTACTACAGAAATCAGGCGATATCGGAATTTGCGAGCTGGAACAACAAAGGAATACTGGCAAAAATCAAGTCAAAATTGTTCCAAAGAAGTCCTCTCGATTCTTTCACGGAACGAACCGGAGTTCCTGACGAATGAATTTCTAGAAGCATCTCAATCGTATGTTCGATATCGCTTCGACGAGGATAAGCCACTGAAAGATGTTTTGACAAGCCTTCCTGTATTGAGACGAAGATGTCTTCTGAATTACCACTTTGAGAGTGCAACGGGCGTGACAGCGGGATCTTTGGAACAATACTTCACTGCCAAACGATCGAAAATCATCGATTTTTCGATGACAAATCGCAAAATTGGACGTTTGCATGCCAATGCTTTGGATTACGATATCTTCACATTCCTTTGTCGTTCGTTGGGAGAAAAAATTGATGATGTGATTATTTTGAAAGAAGTAATAGATATGAAGTGCAAAGATTTCATCAATTTATTTAATGAGAATAATACAATATTCCTTTCAGATGGGAACGAAGCTTGATGACATTGCAACCGACTGTTCAGGACCAGTACTCGTCGCCATAGGTAAGCTGTTTTTTTTACGTTTTAGAGTTGTTAGTGGATAGGTTCAAAACTAAAATATTGCTGTTCTATTTTACTTATTGTTACACTGGTTTTCTTTCAACTCATTTTGTATGAAATTAATGCAACATAGTTATTAAAATTCATATTTTCATCTTAATGTTTCAGACTGCGGAAACAACAAACGGGTGTTCTATGTGTTTGCCGAACAAGTACCCTTGAGCGAAGGAACTGAAAATGTTGTGGTCGCTGTTACGGACTTGATGTGTGTTCACTATGTACACAATTTTATGTACATGAAGCAAGTATCAAAATTCATGGAGTTCACTCAGGAATATTTTTTCAAAATTCTGCCGACAACTGGATCAAAATCAAGTGCTACGCGTAAGGGACAGCAGCAGCGAGTAGTTAAACGTATCATCGAGGCCATTACTAATCACATTCCTGAGAAGCAGTAGCATGAATGTTTAGCCAGACATTACAGATGCCAAGCCTGATGATGGATGACGGAAACGAAATGATGTTATATTTAGAAGCAAGCCAGGCTTAAAATATCATTTTTTTTATAGTTAGATATGCATAGAGAAAAAGATCAATATTACAACGATCAAATATCAAAATAAACAATGTATTTTTGAGCAAATTTGTTTTTTTTTTATATTGTTAGAAATGCCTCACCAACAATGCCAATTAATGCTAATAAGTGCAATAAAAAATACTAACGATTTACTATGATATTACAAGAAAAAAAATATAATAGTTGCATAACTCAGTGTAAAAAATTTCGCTCATAATCCATGTTACTGGTCATTATTACAAATAACCTTAATCTTTTTAAGATTGTAATATTACGTTTCTGGTTTTAAGAAAACCATTGGATTAATCTTCAAAAGTACATCTTAAGACTGCTGGGGTTCCTAGTGGAAAACAGTGAAACTGTGTGTTTTGATTAACACAACCGATGAGAGTAACTCAAAGTTAAGCCAAATTTGACGCACAATTACAAATGGGTTGGTAAGACAGTAAAATTTTCATTGTTTTTCCTCAAGAATCTTCTCAAATATAAGGAAAGTCACCGAAAAGTTTACTCAGTCTAGGAGTAAACTGATGTACTGAGTGAAACCACTTTAAATTTTCCTCATATTCACTTTTTGAAATTTTTAGTTAAATTAGACTCAATTTTTGTCAAACTAAGTTCAATTACTCAGTTACCCTCAGTTATCGGTCGTGTGGAGTGTATACGAAAAGTTTTACACTGATAAAAAATCTGATTTCCTTACGAGAAACCCCAATTATTAATGCACATGTAATTTTATGCGTTGAAGTAAAAAATTACGTCACATTTTAATTTTACATGATACAATCGTCAACGCGTAAAATTACAGATTTATGACATTTCGTATCGTGTAAAATTATAAGCGAATGTAAAAATATGTCATTTTTGACGCTCGTATATGTCAGTCTCAGGAAACCTAAAATTACACGAATTTTTCGAAGTGTGTAGGGTCCAGGTATGGGAGCTGCCTTCCTGGCGTCGGTAGCATTGATGCTCAGCACGGAAAAAAAGATCGACGAAAAACAAATCCAAGGAAAAAAAAAATGAGCGAGAATATCAATATTTTTCGTACCTCCCCGAGCCAATGAAGAACATTGCAGTTGATAATTTAACTCTCAAGGAAATTCTACGAGCTCTTGAAACCTTGGCTGTCTCAAAAGTTGCTGGATCGGATGGTTTACCACCTATTTTTTTAAAGTAAGTTTTGAAGGAGCTAGCAAAACCTTTATTCTGGCTGTTTAATTTATCCTTGGAGTCGAGTGTGCTTCCTCCGATTTGGAAGGAATCATTTTTTATTTCAATTTTTTTAAATGGGTAATAGTCTGATATAAAAAAATACCGCGGAATTGCTTTATTATCAAGCATTCCTAATTTTTTTGATGACAATGTATTCTTACATATTAGACCTGTAATTACTAGCAGACAGCACGGGTTTATTAAAGGACGATCTACAGTTACCAATTTGATATATTTTGTGTCATATTGTTTAAACTCAATTGATAAAGGAAATTATGTCGAAACGATATATTTTGATTTAAATAAAGCATTTGACAGAGTTGATATACTTCTCTTGCTTTTTAAGCTATCCAAATTAGGCTTCAATCCTAGGCAACATAAATGGATCGAGTCGTACTTATCGCTTACCTTACCTTATCAATCAGGCTAAGACCTTGTTGTCCTCTGCTGTCCAAAGATGTCATCTCCACTCGATCCATGGCCACACTTCGCCAGCCTCGTAGTCTGTGAAGGGTCCGCAGGTGCCTTCTACTTGGTCGATCAACCTTGCCCCCTGTGCGCCTCTTCTTCTTTTTCGTGTTGGGTCGCTTTCTAGAACCATTTTCACTGGTTCTACGACGTGTTCAGCCCACCGTAGTCGCCCAATTTTTGCAATGTGGACGATGGATGGTTCTCCCAGCAGCTGGTGCAATTCGTGGTTCATTCGCCTCCTCCACGTTCCGTCATCCATCTGCACTCCACCGTAGATGGAACGCAACACCTTCCGTTCGAAAACACCAAGGGCCTCCATGAGCATATTTCATGTCTCGTGGCCGTAGAGGACCACCGGTCTAATCAGCGTCTTGTAGACAGTCAACTTCGTGCGGCGGCGAATTTTATTCGACCGGAGCGTCCTCCGGAGTCCAAAGTAGGCACAAATCCCTGCCATAATGCGTCTTTGAATTTCTCTGCTGGTATCATTTTCGGCGATCACCAGTGAGCCCAAATACACGAACTCATCGACCACCTCGATTTCGTTACCGTCAATCTGAACTCGGGGTGGGAGGCTAACATTGTCTTCCCTAGAACCTATTCCTATCATGTATTTTGTCTTTGATGCGTTGATGGTTAGTCCAATTCGTCTAGCTTCAGCCTTCAGTCTGATGTACGTTTCCGCCATCGTCTCCGTGCCATGATGTCAATGTCATCGGCGAAGCCAAGAAGCTGGATGCACTTCCTGAAGATCGTGCCACTCGCGTCTATCCCAGCTCTTCTGAACACACCTTCTAATGCGATGTTGAATAGCAGACACGAAAGTCCATCACCTTGCCGTAACCCCCTTCGAGATTCAAAGGGACTCCCCGATACTCGAACAACGCACATCACTCGATCCATCGTCGCCTTGACCAATTGCGTCAGTTTATTCGGAAATCCGTACTCGTGCATAATTTGCCATAGCTGATCTCGATCGATTGTGTCGTATGCGGATTTGAAATCGATTAACAAATGATGTGTGGGCACGTTGTATTCACTGCATTTCTGCAGAACCAGGCAGCGCTCAGCAGTGTGATCGCGCAGTACTTGCAGCAATTCAACTTGTCGCTCTTTTTGTAGATTGGGCATACGACACCTTCCATCCACTCCTCTGGTAATATCTCCGCCTCACAAATCTTGTGAATTACCCAGTGCAGCGCTCTAGCTACACGGGAACAAATCCAATCACCAAAACGAGAAAAATTACTCATGATTTCATGAACATAGCGTGTTTTCATGTTATGAAAATACACCATGAATAATATTCATGATATCATGCGCTATTTTTGCGTAACGCACTCAAGATTCCAAAAATCATGAATCATCCTAGTTGAAACCATGAACTAAATTCATGTAAAACAAAATAAAGTAAAACGTCAGACTGGATTCGAACCAAGAACATTGGGATCATTAAACCCATACTTTAACCACTAGACTTTCAGAACTTGTATAAGGATGAAGGCAAAAGGCGTATAAGAGCTACCTATATAGTGCATTTTATGAATACGGTTTGCCAGGTTCGTGTAACGCTTGTAGCGGTCATGATTCCGCTGTATTATGAAATCATGAATTTCCATCATAAAATTGTAGATCATTGCTATGATTTCATGGCGTGGAACGTTTTTTCATTTCATGATTTTTTATTCATGAAAATGGAATCGGATTTCTTCCCGTGTAGTGCTTCACCACCGTATTTTAATAGCTCACTTGGTAGTGTATTTATACCAGTTGCTTTGTTGATCTTCAGCCGACCGATCTCCTCCTTAACTTCTTGAAGATCAGGGTAGCCTGTGCTCCAAGGTCTGTTGCAGTGCCACCTTCGTTTTCTGCTACTTCACCGTTGAGGTGCTCGTCATAGTACTGCTTCCTCCTCTCAATCACCTCACACTCGTTCGTGAGAAGGTTGCATATATCGGCTTGCGGCACGTAGCCTTAACACGAACTATTTAGCTTCTCGCAGAACTTCCGTGTGTCGTTTACGCGGTCGTTTACGCGGTCCAAGTCCAAACCAGTCATTTCTTCGGTCCGGGATTGCAGTACCTAGTGCCGCTGCAGCAGTACTACCTATGGCGGAACGGATGTCCCTCCAGCCCTCTTCAAGAGAAGCTGCGCCAAGCTGCTCTTCCGTGGGTAGTGCAACTTCCAGCTGCTGCGCGTAGTCCTGGGCAACTCCGGCGTCCCATAGTTGCGCAATGTTGGGTCGCGGCGTTCGACTTCGACGGGTGTTATGCACCGTCCAGAGTTTTGAGCGCATGCATACTGCAACTAGGTAGTGATCCAAACCTATGTTCGCACTGTGGTACGTGCGGACGTTGATAATTTCGGAGAAGAATTTCCCGTCGATTAGAACGTGATCGATTTGGTTTTCTGTGTGTTGGTCAGGTGATCTCCAGGTGGCTTTGTGGATATCCTTGCGCAGGAAAAAAGTACTTCAAACTACCATACCCCGAGAGGCTGCAAAGTTCACACATCGTTGGCCGTTGTCGTTCGATACGGCATGCAGGCTGTTTGGCCCGATTGCCGGTCTATACATTGCCTCCCGTCCTACCTGAGCGTTCATGTTGCCGATGACAATTTTGACGTCCCGTTGCGAACAGCCGTAGTACACCTGCTCCAGCTGCGCATAGAACGCTTCTTTCTCGTTGTCGGGTCTCCCTTCGTGTGGGTAGTGCACGTTGATGATGCTGTAGTTGAAGAAACGGCCCTTAATCTTCAACTTGCACATCCTCGTGTTGATCGGCTGCCAACCAATCACGCGTTGGCGCATCTTACCCAGCACTACAAAGCCGGTTCTCAGCTCGTTGGTGGTGCCACAGCTCTGGTAGAAAGTAGCCGCTCGATGCCCGCTTTTCCATACCTTTTGTCCCGTCCAGCAAAGTTCATGCAGTGCTACGATTTCGAAGTTGCGTGGTTGGAGTTCATCATAGATTAACCTATCTCAGCCCGAGAAGCCGAGCGATTTGCAGTTCCATGTTCCGAGTTTCCAATCGTAGTCCTTATTTCGTCGCGTAGGTCTGTGCCGATTGTTCCGATCCGTATTTCTTCAGTGTTTGCAACTTTATGTTTTTTTCCAGGGCGGCTTGTTGGACCTGCCCCAACCCACTGTCTCACCGGGGGACCATTGTGAACAGCTCTGTTTAGAGTCCCACGCTG